TCATACACTGGCACAATTATTCATAATTGTCTAGAAAACTAATTTCACAGCAGAAATATAGAACCCTATATCAGATCAAGCACTATTCCTAAATGTCAAAAGAAGATTAAAGTTCACTGAGACGCCCTGAAAGTTAGTGTGACTGTGTTTACAGGGTGAGTGACATGAGGATATGAGTTTTGACATTGCACAGATTGCATGTCCCTCGGTGAGCCCCGGGGTGGCAGAGGGGCTGGGATCAGCCTCTTCATGAGGCGGGGCAGCTGGGGTATAAGAGCGCGTGTGTGTGCATTTCAGGACAGGCTCACAGATGTGCGTGACGACCCCACGGCAAAGGAACTGCTGTCGCTACGCAGCACACATTGCATAGCAACCGGATAACATCAGTCAGATAGGCCCAATTTTAATGTTTAGATGTAAAAGGTTATAAATTAATTAGCCAAAGGCAGAGACAAGGCTCTGGATAAACAAGAAACACAGCAATATCTGAATACAACTTCATTATAAAACTCCCAATGTATATGGTTCTTTTTATCACCTTCAAACCTGGTGCTGAATAAAACCATCAATCCACACAGCAAAATCCCCAGAGTTAAATCAACTCTGCTCAGAGTACATATTGTAGGGTTATGGCCAGAAGAATAACGTTCATCGAGATATTTCGCCACGTCACTCTCTTCACCCGCTTCACGGCAAGTAAAGCCTCGCCGTGGCGCGATCCATAATTTCCAAAAGCTCATCATACGCAGGGCAGGAGGATTGGGAAGGCTCAGCCTCATAACAATGTTGAACATGAACGAAAACTTACCACATAATCCTCAACAGTGGTAACTCTGCTTCAGTGTTACTTTAACACTCTGTAGATTGGGACAATATGTACAGTACATGTGACAGTGTGAGGTGGCTTTATGACCTTCGCTACATTAGGAGGTGTAGATGTGTTTATTTCCATGCAAACAAACTGTAATTGCACTACGGTAAAACGACAAATCACACATCTCACAGCCCGGAAAATGGAAAGATACAAGTGATGAAAGGTGCAGAGGGGAACAAGAAAAACATATGGCAGTTGTCTATTCTGTCTGTTTTTCTTTTCGGATAATTAAAAGGCTGTGAGGCAACGGAGGGATTTTCTCCTGCTAAAAAGTCAGAGCAGGAGGCCACACTGTGAACTAAGCCAAGCTCTGCCTTTCATCTGGCACAGCATCATTTTACACTGACAAACTGTGTACCTGCACTCATGCATTCGCTAAGCTGGTGTTAATTCAAAAGTCACTACATAAAATACTGTCTTTGATCATTTTCATGTCATTTGTGCTCCAGACCTACATTTTATTGTAACTTGGCCAGAGCTGTATGACACACTAAACTCTTTAATTCATCTGCCAACATCTGAAAAAAAGAAGAAAAAAACTCAGATGGTGTTTATCTGAATTAGGCCTATGCATGATTAAACACAAGGTGTCATGGTTACGTACATTTTTGTTTAAAACATCAAGATGAGTCTGAAGATTGAAGTTTAATTTGTACATAATAAAAAATGCATTTTTATAACAAGCATAGCCTTTGAAGCAGAGTTACAAACAGAGTTATCTTGAGATTATTTATTCACACTTGACAGTTTAAAATGAAGTGTGATAAAAATATGTTAGGAATGGAACTCTTGCATGCACACTGTGCAGCGTACACTGTTGCATACGATATGTTAAAAAATGTGATGATGCTTGTAAACTGCACTTGTTAAAATTACAAATGACTTGCTTCTTGCGTCAGACCAAGGCTGTATCTCATTGCTAGTTTTACTTGATCTTAGTGCTGCGTTCGACACTATAGATCATGATATACTCATAGATCGATTACAAAATATAAATAAAGGTGACTTGACTTGACTTGACTTGTTTCAAATGTGTTATATATGAACTCATCAGCTTGTACGTTATCATAAGCAAAAACAACTAAAAAACAACTTAGTTCATGAATAAATAAACAGTTATATCCTCCTGACTACCAGCTATGGAGTTTTGTCCTCTGTAGAGGACATAATGTTTTAGTGATTTCTCTGAGACGTTACATGTCACAGTTTTAAGTCTGGATGTTCTGTACAGAGCACATTCAGTGCTTTTCAGAGATACCAAATGTTTGGAAGTTTCACCATGACCACTCCCTCTACTTGGTCTTTAAAAATGGCTGACATTAATTTAGTGCTAAAATTGTACATGTTTATAGATACATTGTATATAATGGAAAAAACTTGTTTATGGCCAGTTTACACACATTTTGCATAAAGAAAAATAAAATGGTTTTTAAAAATATCTTTCATAACATAGTTGAGAATCGTCTTTATATAAAGTTTGGTATAAAAAATTAAAATTGATTTGTGATTAAAACAAAAATCCCACTGTTTTTGCCTTTTCATGTCTATTCATGTCTTTTTATTTCTTAAAAAACAGGTTTTTTTTAAGTCCCGATGTCTTCTACAGAGGACACGGCATGACATATCAATAAAATATAATTTTTCAAAAATGTTATTTTTCTAAATTGTTCTTATGCTCTAAACAATGTAATGACATGACAAAATACTAAATTCACAAAACTGTCAGGAGGATATTGCATTTTAATCCAAATTTTTGTAAATTTAAGTATAAATTAATAATAATATAATATAATGTAATATAATATAATACATAAATCTACCACATCTCAAAGTAACACATATATTGAGATTTATTCACAATTGACATCTTAACATTACTTGTGAAAAAAATGTTTGGAATAGAAACTCTTGCATGCTGTGCAGTGTACACTTGCCTACTATATTTAGCTGTTCCAAATCATGGTGTATATTTATTTCAGTGAGTGGCATCCATTTACCATAAACAAAAAAAAAGTTAATTATTTCATGAATAAATATAGTTATATTGCATTTTAATCTAATTTTCTGTAAAAAAAAAAAATAAATTAATTAATTATTTTAGAAAATAATTACAAATAAAAGAAAATAAACCAAACAGCAAGACAAAGAGAAATACTTAGCTATGAAAACAAGCAAGTGCAATGTCCAAGAACAAAACACAAATCTTGAAAAAGCATCTGTTTTTCTCAATCCAATTTTCTGTGGAAAAAAAGGGAGTAAAAAAATAATTTTTAAAAATAAAGTAAATATTACACTTTGGAAACAAATACATCAAATGTCCAAGAAAAACAAAACACAACTCTTTAAAAAGTGTCCACTGTTTGTGTCAGTAGACAGTTTTATGGCGCAGGGGTCATGACCTGTGAAAACTCACCTAATAATACAACACTTTTCCTTGGAATACAAACACTGGAAGATCTCCATATGTCCTGCTGTTTTGTACACATAATAACCAAACGTAAAAAAAAAAAAAGTATTTGCACATAGTGTATATGACTCTCGAAAGATGAAATGAAACATGTTTTTAAACAGTAACAGTGTTGCAGAGTTCGCTCAAATAATCACATGCACAGCTGCCACCTGCTGGTGAAGAGCGGAACGTCTCTAATTATTGTTCCCCCAATTAAACCAGTTTTAAAAAGTTACATAACAGATTCATTCATGCAGACATGAACAATTATACATTTAACAACTGTCTATAAAACCTTAATTGTGTAAGTATCAGCACCATCTCTGCTTAGGACTGACATTTGAGCGCGCTGCGCAGAATCCGCCCCCTTCCCTCAAGCGTGTCAAATAGTGTCTCCAGAGAGTCTTGAGCTTTATTTTAATGACCTTTGCTTGACTTTTCCACCAATTTACAGGTGTGCCATCACAGGTGGACAGCGACATGGAGGGACGGCAGCTACAGCAGGTGAGCGAGTTTATTTACAGTTAATATTTATAAACAGCACACTTGTTTTGCCAAAACTTTGCGCAGTAAGAATTTGACGCAACATGAGTTTATTCGTGTGTCAACACAGTTTGGCGTTTGAGAGCACTTCAGCTCATCGGTATAACACGGAAAGCGTTACACCACCTCTCTAATTTGATTTCTGACAGGTTTTGAACACGCAGAGACTGAAGTCACTACAAGAATGGATGCAGAAAAGCTCAATCACTTTAACACAGGTCAATGGGCAGAGGAAATATGGTGGTCCTCCTCCTGGTAAGTACTCTTGAATGGAACTGAGATGATCAGCCTTTTGCAATTAAAACACAACCTGTGGCGTTTTAAACTCTTTTATGTCTCATAGCATGAGACTGAAGTGTGGTGTGGATGAAGACAGAGCTGTAGCACATGGCCTCTTATTTCCCTTCATAACGTTCAGCAGAGCAGAAACAAGCCGTTTACTTTTCCTTTTAGAGGTTTTAGGAATAAATCTTCATCATCTTGGGTTTAAAGCAGCTTGTCATGTAGAACTGATACGAAAGTTTGAACCAGGCCTCTTTTGTGCTTTGTCTTTACCTCCATTAAAACATGGACACCTGGAGATCAATTAGACTGCAAGTCCTCATTGCTGATCAATTATTGCTGATTGGATGGTTTTAATTATTGCTTGATGGAAATTATTAGTCAAGATCCTTTTTAAAGTAAATTTTGTAGATGTGGGAAATTAAGTTTTAACGTGTTGATCACTTTAGATATAAATAACTTGTTTAAATCAGACACCAACAGTGTTTTCTGCGTAAGTAATATCTCTTTTAGTTGTCACACTGTTAACTTCAGGAATATTATCCCTAATGAGTTGATTTTAAAAGTAATACATGTATACATACGTATGTATAAAATGCCTTTTAAATGTAACAAATCATGAGTGCATAGTACTTCCTTAGTATTTTTTTTTCTTAAGTACATCTAATTTTCAGCTTTGATCTGAGTCTCTGGTCAGTGCTTGTTATGTGATGTTTTCATCAGTTTTTCAGAGTATAATTATATCTTTTTTAAAGGATCATATTGTGAGGATTTTTATTTGCCTTGATCTTTATATCTTCAAGAGCTTAGTGTACTATGAAATATATCTCAAACTCTATATATGTGTATATATATGTATATGTATGTATATGTATATGTATATATATGTATATGTATGAATGTCTATTTTAAATAAATGCTGTTCTCTCAAACTTTATCAAAGAATCCTTTCCAAAAAGTATCATGTTTTCCACCAAAATATGAAGCAGCTCAACTGTTTTTAACTGATAATGTTTCTTGAGCAGCAAATCAGCATATTAGAAGAATGATTTCTGAAAGATCATGTGACACTGAAGACTGGAGTAATGATGCTGAAAATACAGCTTTGACATCACCGGATAAATTGCGTTTTGTAATTTATTAAAATAGAAAATTTTAATTTTATGTTGGAATGTTTCATAATCTTTTAAAATGTTTACCCCCCCCCCCAACTTTGGAACACAA